TTTTGAAAGCTTGGCATACAATTATTTCTCTCTTAACATAGCCAACACCACCCTCAGATGTTCCTGGTGTTCTTCCCGAGTTCTAGAATAAATAAGAATGTCGTCTATAAAAACAACAACAAACTTATCTAAATAAGGACGGAAGATCATGTTCATGTAGTCCATAAATACTGCAGGTGCATTTGTTACTCCAAACGGCATGACCACATATTCATAATGGTCATATCTCGACCTGAACGCTGTCTTCTGTACATCCTCTTCTTTAACCAGTATCTGATGGTATCCAGATCTCAAATCAATCTTAGAAAAGAATGATGCCCCTTATAACTAGTCTAATAAATCATCAATCCTTGGCAACGGGTACTTGTTCTTGATAGTCACCTTATTTAGTTGTCGGTAATCAATACACAACCTGGAGCTCCCATCTTTCTTCTTTACTAGCAATACAGGAGCACCCCAGGGAGATACACTCGGACGAATGAACTTCTTTTCCAACAAATCCTCTACCTATTTCTTCAATTCAGCCAATTCTGCTGGAGCCATACGAAATGGTGTCATAGAGATTGGGCCTGAACCAGGAATTAGATCAATCCCAAATTTGACCTCTCTCTGAGGTGGCAGCCTTGGTATCTCATCTGGAAACACATCAGGAAATTCACTCACAACTGGTACCCCTTCCAGGATATTATCCTTCACTTCATCCATCTGAGTCAGGATCAAATAACACTGACCTCCCTCTCGTAGCTTTTTCTAAACCTGCCGAGCTGATGTAATAAGCTCATCTCCTGATTCCGGATGCACCAACCTCTTCTGTCCATAGTCAATCAGAATGCGATTGGTGGATAACTAATCCATCCCTAAGATCACATCCATATCCTTCAAAGGTAAACCGATTAATTTCACCTTGTACTGTCGTCCTTCTACAACAACTGGGCACCTCAAGCATACATAGGAAGACACCACCAGTCCAGCTGCTAGTGTAGATACCCTCAATTCATAGGGTAGGTCACACACAGGTAACTTAAGTTTATCCATACAATTATCAACAATAAAAGAATGGGTAGCACCTGAATCAAACAGAACTCGTAGAGGTATATCAGAGATAAAACACACACCTTGCACTAAATTATCTGACCTCAATGCCTCTGCTCCTGACAAGGCAAACACCCGTCCTGCAGCTCTCGGTTTCGCGTCACTCCCCTTGGGTGCTGATGATGCCCCAGCTGAGACTATAGCACTGGGCTTCTGTGGACAGTCTCTAGCCATATGTCCTAGCTTCTGGCAAGTGTAGCAAAGACCTGCCCGAGAAGTCTGGGAAGGAGTACTGAAGGCATTTTGTGGGTACTGATTCCTGTAATGAGGGCCTTCACATTGAAAACATTTCACCCCGGATACAGATCCCGATGATCGAGGTGCTGGGATAACACTGCCACTCCTGCAAGACTGGGGGCGTGAATAAGGCATCCTCCTCTCTGATCTACTACCCCCACTCGGAACCCCACTTGGGTGGGTCCTCATCACTCTGACTCCTCCCTCCTGGAGTCTCTCTATTGTCTTTGCTTTCTCCACCAGCTCTGGGAATCTCCTGATAGAGAAAGGAATCACCATGAGTTTGATCTCAGTCCTCAAGCCCTCCTCAAACTTCCTGCAAAGCCACTGTTCTGAAGATGTACCTGTGTAAAAACGAGATAAGTACTCAAATCGTACGGCGTAATCATGCACCATCATATTACCCTGTCTCAGACTCAGGAATTCAATCTCCTTCTGAAATCTAACACTGTCAGGAAAGTATTTCTCTAGAAATCTCTCACGGAAGGTTTCCCAATTACACACCTCCCCACGTGCAATCATTATCCTTTGAGTCCCTGACCACCAGAACTTAGCCTCATCCACTAGTAAGTATTTCCCGAATGTCAATTTCCTGTCTTCCGGGCATAAGGTAGCCTCAAAAATCTTCTCCACTTCACGCATCCACTTCTCTGTTGCATGTGGACCCAAATCTCCTCCAAAACGAGGTGGATTATGCCTCATGAACTCAGTTAGCCCCATCTGCTCTGATTGGTGGAATCTAGCAGAGGATGATGCCATAGTTGGCCTCCACTGCGGGTAGGTAGCCTGCTGCTGCATGGCAGCTGCCAACATTTCCATTGCCCTGGCTAGGACATCTACACTTGGTGGAGTAGGAGTAGGAGGTCGCGGTGCCATCCTATATCAAACGCAATCATCAATACAGAGCAAACATTCACACACACTCACATATCAGAGTATAATCACAACGGACTTATCATAGGGTCACTACCCATCCCCACAGATTTACAAGGATACTACCGCTTTGATACCACTATTGTAACGACCCTAGAAATCGCTACTATAATGATGTCTTCGCAAAATAGTAAACAACTCAATAACGACATATATCTTACATTATATTACTATAATTGTAACATAGATTGAAATTCCGGTTACTAACAGAACCTCAAAATATAATAACATAATTTATTTATATATTATACATGTAAAAGTAGCTCCCACGAAGCTATTCTACTGAACTATCTCTGTTGTCTAGTAGTCACATCTCCATCTCTCAACTCCTGATCTGCTCCCACATAAAAGTGATCATCGCAGTCCCATCCACATGGAAAAATAGGGGTAAGTATTAAATCATTTGATATAATAAAACAGATATAGAAGTAATAATTATATATTATGATCAATTACGAAATCATCAACACATTAAGACACCTTCCAGAAGTATACCCTAACTATGCCCAAACTCAGAGGCTATCATCTGTGGGCACATTGTGATCGGCACCCGCAGTATCATTCTGACCACCCTCCACACAGAGTAGGATTACTGGCGCCCTTCATCACTCATACTAGAGTACCCCTCCGAGCGCGCCACCAGTCATCCCCCCATCGAATTCTCACCACCTGATCTCGTAGTCTACCTGATCCAACCAATCAGTGAAGTCTAAGACCTCATTCAGAATTCTCCGACATAGTTATTACACTAAAGTACTCTGTACCACCCCGGGTACCATTCAAACACAACAAAAATCATTCACATTTGTCGGATTCTAGACCACCTGTCCTCACGGCTCATTCAAGTCAATAAATAATAGTACTTGACTGATTCTGGGCACCAACCCTCCGACTCAGTCTAGCCAATACATAACATCTCATGACTGATTATGGACATCAGCCCTTAGACTCAGTCTGACTCACACACGTCACAACACACTATAGAATCTTTAAAACTGCTACCTTCATTCTCTATATATATATATATATATATATATATATATATATATATATATATATATATATATATATATATATATTCTTCTTCTTTCTTCTTTTTTGTTCTTTTCGAAATCATTTCTGAAATCATTTCCAAAATCATTTCCAAAATCTTTTCCGAAATCATTTCCGAAATCTTTTTTTTTTAAATCATTAAATTACTATTTTGTCCTTAATCTTTTCTGAAAATTCCATGTATGTCCCTAAATGACTATTTTACCCTTGGACATTTTAGAAAATTCCTTCCATGTCCCGAAAATGACTATTTTACCCTTGAACATTTTCAAAAATTCCATTTATGTCCCTAGGATGTAAAATGACTAGTTTACCCTTGAACATTTTCAAAAATTCCCTCCATGTCCCTTTCTTCTTCCTCGCGCCAGTAATAGTATCAAATTTTGCAGATTTTGGCAGATTTCAAATTACTCAGTTTTAGACAACCAAACTAGTCCTAAATTCAAATTAAACATGAATTATATCTAATTTAAGTTGAAAACAACAATTTTACTATATAATTCATCCTTAATTTTAAGAATTTCAAAAACTTTCAAACGGTGAATAGTTCATCAAAATAAAAAATTCTTCAAAATCAGACATTCAAATAATTCATATCTCCACTCCTATTCCTTATTCACAGAGTACCTAGCAATTCAATTTCATATATTGAATGAATTAAACTTCTCCTTACCTGGTATGGTATTTCTACCGAAGTTTTTCCACTTAATTCAAGCTCTCTCCCGTTTCACCAGATCCTCGCACGAGTAGAGTCTCATTACTTTAGACAAAAGAAAAAGAAGGATGAGAGGGAAATTTTGATTTTGCCTCCTCCTCGCTTCGAGTATGCATATATAAGAAAAATTTTATTGTGCATGAGAAAAACTTCGTTACGAAGTTTTCTTGCACGATAATATTATTATAACATATAAAAATCATACGTCACAATAATATTTTAAAAGAATTAATAAAAATTTCATGATTATTATAAATTACATTAAAAATTATAAATATAAAATATATTGAAAAATTAAGATAGAAATTATTAAAATAAAATAAAAAAATTCACATAATTAATATAAAATAAAAAATTATAAAATAAATATATTTTTTTTTACAAAAATTGATTCGATCTTAAAAATTAAAATTGATATAATTAATATAAAATAAAAAATTATAAATATATATTATATTTTGTATAAAAAAAATTGATGTTATATGTATATTTTTTTTTTACCAAAATTGACTCGATTCTAAAAATTAACATTTTTTTCTTATTTTATCGTTTTTATTCTAATTTTTTCAATTTTATCCTAATTTAATTTAATTAAATTATTTTAAAACAATATATCTATTTCTAATCTTATTTTCCGACCCGATTTTTAAAACGGTAATACTACGGATTATACTATCAGTTCCACATTCTCTCTTTAGTTTCCTTAGGTGAAATAATAAAAGGGGAATTCCATCCTTCTGATGTAATTATTGAAAAATAAAATGAATTATTCTCAATTAGATATTATTATTTAGTAATTAACATAAATTAACCTATTTCCACTTTCCCCATAACATGGACCCTATCATTAGGAAAAACAAATTTAATATTATTGCTGTTAAATCATAATATTTAAATCATTGAAATATATAAACGTACAAAGCATCTGAAAAATAAATAATCGTTTCCTTTATCGCGTGGGCATAAAATAATGCATGTAATGCACCTCGAGAATTTGTGCGTGTTCTATTATTTATTTATATATATATATATATATATATATATATATATATATATATATATATATATATATATATATATATAACTTTTATTTTCGTAGTTATAGCTAAACATTATAAATAGTATAATTTATATTATCATAATTTTAATATAAAATGATATATTTTTTCTTTACTCTTTTGAGATCATTTTAAATTATTTTACGCATATTCAAATTTTTTTCCTAAAAATTGTGGGCAAATATAAATTTGTTAATCACTATGTAAAAATGTATTTTCATATCATGTTAATTAAAAAAGTTAAGTGAAAATTGGTGCATATATATATGGTGACATTTTGAAATATATAAGATATATTGTATAATTGTGTTTTAGAACTAGTATAAAAGTGAAATATTATATATAAGAGATATTATATGTTGACTTTTTATGATGTTAATTAATAAAAAATAATCTATTATTTTTTATTAATTATATTTATATCTTCATAAGTGATATAAAAAAAATTCTATATCGTAGTAAACTTAATTTTTTTATGTAAAAGAAAAAAAAACTTCTTATATTTATGAAACTTCAACGGTTGGGAAAATAATGGTTTTAGAAGATGTAGAGTAGTTAAACTTGATACTTTTAAAATTCAAGATAAACTCAAAATAATATTTGATAATTTAATAAGCTTATGAGTCAATCAGTATCTTATATTATTTTCATAAAAAAGTCTTGGTATTTTCTATTAAAAAAATTTAGCATATGCACACACTGAATTCATTAATTAAGAACTTAAAAATTATAACTAATAATAATTTATGAGTTAAATTTTATTAATTGAAATATATCTATTAAAATTTAATGGTTTTATTGATATAGTATATATAAACATAGTTTTATCGATATTTAAATTTAAATATTTATTAGAATATCTTTATTATTTTTTTAATTAATCTATTTATAAATAATATTGTATTTTTTATAATTATAAATATTGATAAAAAAATTTATAATATATTACATAAATATTTTTTTATTGTATAATTTTTAATATTTTTATTATGTATTTTTTACTTTTATTGTATGAACATTTAAATTTTTATTTACATCCTTATTAGAATTAAAATATATATTTTTAAATAAAATAAGTATGGTTAGTGGTGACAAAGACTACTGACATCAAGTTAATTTTAATGAAAGGCATAAAATTATATAGTTTTAAAAAATAATGAACCAAATAAAACTGTTTATTGATAGTGTGAGAAGATTAAACAATATAAAATTTCAATTAGTGTAAATCCTAATTATAATATTTTTATTAACCACTCGCAAATTTTTTTGACAAATTATATATATATATATATATATATATATATATATATATATATATATATATATATTGTTAAGAAATATGACTAAAACATTTTTCTCTTTTAATATGGGAAGAAAATGAACGAAAAGTTGCTAAATTAACAAATTTATGTATTTACTCACTTATACCATGATAATACAATAATATAAAATTATTAAGCATAATCATATATTTTTAATTATTTTATGGATAAAAATTGTATTTATGGTGATGTGGAAAATGTGTCCAGTTATATTAATGTTAATTAAGAAAGAAAGTTAGATTTTAATCAAAGAAATTAAACAAGGTCATATATGTTATCTCTACATATATTCAATTAAGAGTTATACATTAATTTAATCTAATATTAAAATTTAAAAGGCATGCAACTTTTCAGAATAAAAAAGAAAAATATTATTTCATTGCACTATAAAATAAAATAATATCTCGAATTTTTGACCTAAAATATGTTATACAATTTTAATTTTAAGACCACAGATATCCTATAATTATATTTATATTTACTTTTTAAGATCACAAATATCCTCTACAAAATAAAATTTGAGTCTAATAACCAAATCAATCTACTTTATTTCTTTGAATATAAAATTTAAAATTTCTGTCTAAATTTACTTATAAATTGTTGAAGCTCACTCATATACCATACCTTATTCATTCTGTAATTTGTACATCTAGATTGTTTTATTATATTTAAGATTTGACCATTTTTTTAACATTATTTAATTTGAAAGTGTCATTGGTTAGAATATATATATACATGAATATTTTATTAAAATATTAGTTATTAACATCAATGATTTTGTTATTATTAGATTAAATTAACATATTTTTTAAATATTAGTATAAAAAATATTAAAAAAATATAAATATTATTCTGATATATATACACATAAGTTTATCATTAACAAAGAATAATTTATAAATATTAATATATATATATATATATATATATATAAAAATATATTACTTATATCTTAATTATAATTATTTAAACTAAAATAATAATATAATATTTTTAATTTAAAAAATAATCTTTTAATATTTAATTTAAATAAAATATAATAAAATAATATTTTTAATACGTTTTATTATTAAAAATAAAATTTAAATTTTGTTACATCTAAAAAAAGAATAGATTGAGCTCATATTTATTATTATAATACGGTTAAGATCAATTTTTATAATATTTATTTTAGAATTTTTTTATCACTATTTTGTATTTAAAAAATGTTCTTAATAAATTTAAAAAAAAATATATATATATATATATATATATATATATATATATATATATTATAAACTATTCCTAACTTAAATTCTTAATCAAGATGTACTCTTAATTTCAATTCTGAATTAACATAAGACCTGGATAGAAATTTATCGATGATAAATAAATATATATATATATATATATATATATATATATATATATTTTAAATAGAAATAATTGTAAATTACAAAACTTATCAATAATATTATATTTATATATTAAAAGCATGAAAATATGCATCAAACATTGTTTATATAGAGGGAAAGAGAGATGAAGAGGGAATAAAATATTTGGGCGAGTTTGAGCACGGGCATCCCGCTAAGAGGATACTAGCGCTCGCGAATACGCTGCGTTTGGCCCCCGATGCGCGACACGTGTCGATGTCTGAGATGAACGGTGGACGTATGATTTGCATGTTTAACGAGTAGAAATTAAGAACTCAGCACGAACGAATAATAAATTTTGATTTGTCCCTTTGTCGGTGCACAAATCCCAAGTCACTGTTGTGATATAAGGCTCCCCAAATCATTGATGGCACCACCACCACCTTCCACATTCCCATCACCCACCACCCTTCTTCTCTTCGCCCATCATTTCTTCAACCACCCTTTTTTCCTCACACAAACTTGGCCATGGCTTTTGCCTCTTCTTTCTTTCCAAGTTCATGTGACGTGCAACTGTGATCCGTACTAGTGTATCACACAATTCACAGTCCATTGATTCTAGTTTTATCTAAATTTTTCAAAACATGGTTTTCGATCCCACTTTCACTCTTCATGGTATTTTTTTTTCCTCTCTTTATTTTCTTGTTTCAATCTATCTATATAACAAAACATGCACACAGTCTCAACCATTTACTTTCTTTTGTTTCAGTTGAATAGTTATTTAACAATAATTTCGAATTTGAATTGTATTCAGTATACTCAAAAGAGAGTTTGTGAGTGATAGACTGGGTTGAATACCAGAACAAATTTTAGGAATACTTTATGGTGTGTTAGATGAAGAATAATAAAATATGGTGATGAGTCCTAATATAAGATATCATTGGAGTTCGAACTGGATGAGAAATTGATGTATGAAAAACCCTTTTTGTTTGGTTTCGCAAAGAGTAAGAAAACAAAGTATATTTATAAAGATTGAGGGGGTTCTTGGTCTCAAAAAACTGCTATATATATATATATATATATATATATATATATATATATATATATATATATATATATATATGCATGTCCTTGAACTGGGATTGTTATCTGGGATTATTTGATACACTAGCACGGGTCACTGTTGTAAGTCACGTCAAAAATATCTGCAGTGGCACCATCAAATGCAGCTAAAAGATTTGCAAGAAAAGGAAAGAATGGTTGTGGACGGCAAGGGTTGAGAACAAAAGGTGAGTTTTGGGAACTTATTTGGGTGGTTATATATGTGTGTGTGTGCGCGCGCTTTGTTTGGGGACAAAGAAAAAACCCAATGGAAAGGTTAAAAAAAACTGATGCTAGAAAATGATGTTCTCTTGTTCGTGGCAGAAATGGTGTTTTTTTTTTTTTTTTAAACCTAGCTCCATATTGGTGTGAAATTATTATATTGCATGGACTCAAATTTTCAACACACTCATATGCAAAGTAACTTGTCATGCTTAAGTTATTGATCACATATTTTTGGGTGGAAAGCTTGAAGATATGGAAAGATGAATTGTCAAAGTGATAGTGATAGGGGTGTGTAATGGAAGGAACAAAAAAAAAAAAAGAAAAAATGTTGAGATAAAGAAAGAAAATAGTGAATGATTGTTTTTTATTTTACTTCTTTTTTATAAATTATGTGGAGGGGGTTGGAGAAAGAAGTATTATATGTTGCATGATAATATACAAGTTTTTATCTTTCAATCTCATTGCAATGATTATTTCAAATTTTATATTTTTTAATTATTTGTCTTAGGATATACTTTTTTTTTTATATGGAGACAATATATAATACTAAACTTTTGAAATATTCTAAAATGTTATGTTTAAGCTTAAAACATATGTCTGGCTTTGCCCCAAAAAAAAAAAACACATCCCAAGCCCTTTGCATTGTATTGTTAGGATTTTTATGAGAATATGTAAGTGAAAATTAAATATAAATAGATAAATTGTTTCAGAAAAAGAAAAGTTATGCATGAGAAATATTCTAAAAGTAACTGAAAAACACAAAAATTGATTTATAAAAAAAAATCAATTATTTTACACGTTCGATAAATATATATATATATATATATATATATATATATATATATATATATATATATATATATATATATATATATATATCACACCTCAAGCACCTAATAATTAAATTTAAACTTTAGCAATCTCAATTGAAATTAAGGAGTTTACACAAAGTATTGAAAGTGTAAACGTTTGTTTTATATTTGCAAATTAATTCGAAATTATATCATATAGGTTTTAAAATAAATATTATATAAAATAAAAATCTTATAATTATGATAGGATAATTATTTTTTATATCGGTTAAATTATATATTTTACATTGATTAAAAACCTACATAAAATATATAATATCAATTATCATTGGATAACTATTTTTTACATCGGTAGATTCAGAAACCGACGTAAAATATATAATATCAAACATAGATAGAATTGATGTTATATAGTGATTCGTATTTTCTTTCGTAATGGTGACATACGAAATTGCGAAGGCAATGATGGCACATAAAGCTATAGAGGATGCCATGACATGATATTGCGCAGGAGATATTGGTTGATGGCAAGCGAAGCTATGGAGGGGCATTCATGGAGGAGACACTGACAGAATACGAAGCCGCGGAGAAAGTGTCAATGAAGGAGACGCTGGCGCCAAGCGGAAATGGATTTAGGATTTCAATAATTCTCGAGCCGTAATTTTATTATCTTATTTTAGATTCTACTTTGTAAAATAAGTTTTGAGTCTTAATTTAATTCTAGTTTAGCGAATTTTTGGATTCCGCGTGTTTGATTTTGTTATTAATAGAGGATGATTGTAATGTTGTAACTTAAAACACGATAAAATGAAATCAATATAACTTCTTTTCCTAAAATGTTATCTCTCTAAGTTTTCTTTTTTCTGAAAGATTGAAGCTTATAGTTCTTAATATCGTTACTCACTTAGATGCAAATATGCTCTACACTTGCCTCGAAAGAGGATCCTATGTATCAGAAAACTTCCGACCTATGAAACCATTTTACCGCAGAGTGCTCTTCTGATAGGAAATATGAACTTGAGTGGGTTTTTAGCCGAGAGATGGTGTCGTTATGCCCGAGGATGTTCATATCGTCTGGATAAGAAGGGATCTCTGTCCGAAATGGTATCAGAGCCTAACTATTTTTAGAATGGGACATGATAGTAGGAATTATAAGTGGAAAGTGAGTAAGAGAAACATTTAAACATGGATAACCAAACACCATCATCAGAGTCCGGTTCCGTTGGTCCCGTTTTGTTAAACTCAACTCTTTCTCTTCCCAAAAATAGATCAAAAACTCTTTCTTCTAAGATATAAAATCTCATAAAATATTCTTATGTCTTAGAAGACGCTCAGATTTCTGAGATGTTTAGTCCTCTCCTTAGTCCTTATAATATTTTTAGGAGACAAAGATCTACCCTTAGATCTATCACTCGTCTTCTTTCCACCAGAAGACCTCATGATAAGGAGTATGTCCAATCCTCTAGGATGGACCAGTGTGCCCTAGCATCCACCACAAAAGAACAATATGTCAACATTGAGATCCCCAAAGATCTCATCAGGCATTGGCAAACTGAGAGTTATACTCATCTCCATTATGGAGCAATCTGACTTGTCCTCTCTCTCCATGGAAGACGGAGATTAGCCTGAGTCTTTCTTCTAGACTACCTTCATTATGAGCATGTCGTTATCGCTACTGTTCTGACTACTATTCATGCTGGAAGTGTAGTTCTCACCATCTTTCCCAACTTTAATGTTAGTTTGAAGGATCCCACAATCTCCCAGAGATTAAAGGTTCAGATCCAGATTACTGGAGCTGAACAAGTGGCTGATGCACTATTAGCTACTCTTCATCATCAAATCATATACAGGTTGCAAGATCATGCGATAAATCTTGTGTTACCATCATGTAAAGATGAAGTATTATTCGTCTTGGCCAATAACCAAGATGAGACACCTTCCATAGTTTAAATCCCCAGAAATATCTCTTCACAAGCTTATTCCGATGTAGTGGGTGACTAACTATGAGAAGCTCCACAATAACCAGAAACTCATCTAGTTCACAGAAGCAACATTTAGAAGATCTGTAGATGGCACTGTCAGAACCATCTTCAAGAACCCAGAAGATGTTTTAAGTTCTAGCACCTCCATATTCTAGTCGATGATGATAACGCCTGCCACCAAGGAAGACAAAATCCCTATCGCCAATGTGTGCGCTGATGACAAACCTATCTTTATTGACAAGATAGGAGGACACTTCATCTGGGATGTTGACCCAGACATGTGCGATTCTAATTGTGATTGTTGTGACCACTATGGAGACACTAGTGACGAGGATGATGATGACTTAGATAGTCATGATGATGATGACTTCAAAGGAGGATCTTGCAAACCTCCGTTCTTTCCCTCCAGGAGATTTGAACCTGGAAAATGCCCATGGATAGGAATTCACCGCCAGGAGAAGCCAGATCCCTCGTGGAAATACCGATGATACGCTGAAATCCTTGAAGAAGAAGGCCTACTATTCTCTAAACCAGAAAGGTGCAGAACCTCTGCCATGCCACCTCAGCCTGTTCCTGTAGCTCTTCCCATTCCATTCATGATGATCAACCCTTCAGCCTATAAGGAAGAATTTCCTCCATTAGAAAGGAAAGTTGATCTGTGTCCAAGACAACAACCAAACCACATGTTGTTTGTCAAGAAATTGGACCAGATGGAAAGACCAAACCATTAAGCCAGGCCGAAGAAGTACTAAATTGGGAGACAAATAATGTTCAAGCCCAGGATTCTATCTTGCAGAAAATTGATAAGAAGATAGACAAGATCTTCACACATCTTGAGGAGACTGACGACAAGCTTCAACACCTTAATTCTACTATGAGGAAAAACTACAAGCAACTCTCCTCAGAAATCTCAAAGTTAGAGAAAGACTGGAAGAACACCGTCTTCGGAGAATTATCTCACGCCAAAGAAAGAGAGATTAGAAGGCTCAAGGCCCAGATCCAAGAGATGGATAATTATATTGAAGAAAAGACTAGGCAACAAAATCCAGAAAAAAACCATTATTCATCCCTATTCTCTTCAACTCCAGTCTACTCCTCTTTCCAGAACCCATCTTCATATTTTCGACCAGCGTCACAGACCACATGGTCCCTACCAGCTGCAACGGCTTACAGGTCTAGATTCAGACCAACAACACCCAAGTCAGACAGAAAGAAGGTTGTCCAACCTTTTTCAGAATCTTCTTTTGAAGAACAACCTTCACCTAAGAGGCCAACTCAGCAAGAACCGTTTGACCCAGTCTTTCAAGATTCTCAAGACCCATACTCGCAGATGACCATAAAACCTTTTCCTTCTCCGACTCCTGCGACTCCAACTCCAAATACTCCTACAATGCTTGAAGAATATTCCTCTGAAAAATCAGAGATTGAGGTTCGTGCTTCTGAGGAGTCTGAAACTGAAGTTCTTACTTCTGAAGAAGCTGAAACAAAAGTTCCCAGCTATGAGGATCTTACACAGATATTGATGACCAACACCTCCAGATCAGAAGTCAAACATGAATCAATCTATGACCCTCCAGATGAAGAAGCTGACTTTGGACCCACAAGAACAAATGTGTCTTCAAAGACAAATGGTGAACCCTGGTTCACTATTGATGATATTCCTCCCAGCCAATGGAAAGCCAGATTAATCGAATTTGGAGCATGGTTAGATACCAAATTAGTCAACAATTCTGACTCCTATAAAGTTATTGAAGAATTTTGTTGCAGAATGACAGGAACTTTAAAGGGATGATATCATAATTTGGGAGTTGTCCGACAAAACCAGTTCCATGAACTGGGCCAAACCTCAGCAGTACTTGGAGCCTTACATAAAGAATTCATAGGTGATGGATCGATAATAGATAAAAAACTCAGGTAAGAGTTTTTCGAAATGAGATGCTGCTCAATCAAGATCAAAGGCTTGGAGAAACACTACCAGAGGATGAGTAAGAGATTCTACCATCTCAATGGACTCAACAATCCAAGCCTGAAGAACACCTATGTTGCATCTCTTCCTGCTGAGATACAACCAGAAATGAATAGGATGGTCATGTCCATTCATAAAGACTTCATTGTTTTGACGATGAGACAAATTCACCAGATGACTTTAGAAGCTGTTACAAACTGTGCAGACAACACAAGTTCTTCTCTGACATCATGACCCAGAAAAGCAAGTTCAACAATGCCTGTCAGAAACCTTATCTTGAGATTAAATGTAAGAAGCCCTGTTCAGGCAACTGCAAGACGAAGAAAAAGCGGGAAAAACCACTTTTTCGCAAAAAGAAGAAAAAGAATTTTAAATTCTTCAGGAAAAAGAAGTTCAGAGGAAAAGCACAAGATCAACGGTGCTTTATTTGCAAGAAGGGACATTTTTTTAAGAATTATCCTCATAAAGCTGATAGAGCCATCAAGCTCATCTCCACCCTCCAACTTGATGACAATGATGACATAGAGTCTCTCTATTCTGAACAGAGTTCTGCAAATGAAGAGACTATCTTCGCTCTTAACATCTCGTCTGATGAATCTGGATAAGAATATTTAGATAAATCTAGATCAGAATATTCTGATGAATCTAAGATTGATACTGTTCCAATATTCTCCTTCCAAGAAACTCATCTTATCAATGTCTCTCCTCCACAATCATGCTTGGATGTCCAACTCCTTCCTTTTAAATATGAGAAAGTTATCCAAGTCATAGCCTACCTTGATATAGGAGCCCAGAAATCCATGATGGATCCTGATATTCTTCCCAAAGAATTTTGGAAGAAAGAAGGCTCCTATTTCGTAGCAACTGATGGAAAAGTCTTTAAGACCAAACTGATCACTAAAGCTCCAATTGGAATCAAATTCTTCCAAGAATGTATAGTTTGGAGTAAAGTAATTGGGATCAAGCTTCCCAACAAAGATATCCTGATAGGCATGGACATCTTCTCCATGACAAACAAGTTTCAAATTCTCCCTACAGGGATCAAGTTCAAGAGGGAATTCAAACATTTCACAGATGTACCTAGACACTTCTCCCTCTCTGAAGCGCTAACAGTCATGAGGAATTTTTTCATCCCAAGCCATTATGGAAGAACCCTGAGTTCTTTGTACAGTTACCCTTTAAGCTCAAAGAAGATGTCAATCCAACGAAGGCCATTCACCCAGGAATGTCTCCTTCAGACCTACATTAGCAAGACAAGAATGCCAGGAACTGTTGAAATAAGGCCTGATTGAACCAACCCAATCCAATTGGGCCTGTCAAGCCTTCTATGTAGAAAAGAGGTCCAAAAAAATCAGAGGGAAAAATAGGTTGGTAATCAACTACAAGCCTCTTAACTGTTTTCTTAAGGATGACAAATTTCCAATACTCAAAGCCTTATCATTACCCACTCTGATAAAAGAAGCCCATATCTTTTCTAAGTTTGACTTCAAATCTGGATTTTGGCAATTAGGCATTGACCCCACCGACAGATACAAAACACTGCTTTCTGTATACCCAATGTCCAATACCAATGGAAAGTAATGCCCTTTGGGCTTAAGATAGCCCCATCACTGTTCCAAAAATCCATGACAAAAATCTTTAAGCTCATACTAGACAGAGCAATCGTATACATTGATAATTTTTATTATTCTCACAAGACATGGACTCCCACAA